GGGTGCCCGGTGTATGTGGCTTTTTAGATGTTGTTTGGATTGTTGGTGGTTGATTATTAAGTTTTGGCTTTTGTTTCCTTGTACTGCCAAGCCTTCGCCTCCTAAGTATTTGATAAGCTGGTGGCAAATCCGCATTCCTGTTGATTGAGGAAGGGCTCGTTTCTCAGGCTTCAATCACTTCCCTGGCTGTTTTTGTGCCTGCTCGTCCAACAATCTTAATAGCTGCAAAATTGAATGTGGGTCCTTGTCCATTGCAGTAAGGGTTTGGGCCCCCTCCTTCTCTGACTTGCATTCCCAACAAGGTCTAATGCTTTAACTCTACCTCGGAACAGGGAATAGATTTGTATTCTTTATTTCCAATGCTTGCCTCCCCAATGTTGGATCAAAAGAAGACAAGATCCTGTCTCTTTTGTAGTGATGGAGATCAGAGAAGTTTTTTGCAATAATAGAATAGCAAAATTGGAAGAGACCTTGGAGGCATATTATTCCACCTAATTAATTGCCCAAACTGTCAGGAAATTTCTCCTTAGTTCTAAGTCGCTTCTCTCCTTGATTAATTTTCACCCGTCGCTTCTTGTCCTGCGCTCAGGTGCTTTGGAGAATAGCTTGACTCCCTCTTCTTTGGGGCAGCCCCTGAGATATTGGAACACTGCTATCATGTCTCCCCTGGTCCTTCTTTTCATTAGCCTAGACATACTCAATTCTTGCCATCATAGTTTGGACTTCACATCTTCAAGTCAAGGAACGCTGATTTTAGGAAACAGACCATACCCAAAAATTCAGAATCATGTTCATTTGGGCTGATGGACCTCCCAAACTGATAAAGTACATCCACCTTATAGCACAAAAGAAAAAGCAGAGGAAAGGCTTACCCCTGGGATGTGTGTGTGTGTGTGTGTAATTTTTATTAAGTGTGATTATGTTAAAAATATAGAAGAAGTAAAAATTAGAAAAATAAGAAAAGGAAAGAGAAAGGTATAAAGAAAGAAAAAAGAGGAGTAGTTCTTGACTTACAACCACCATTGAGCCCAGAATCTATATTGCTAAGTGAGACATTTGTTAAATGAATTTTGTCCCATTTTACCACCTTTCTTGTTAAGTGAACCCTGCAGTTGTTAAGTTAGTAACATGGTTGTTAAGTGAATCTGGTTTCCCCCATTGACTTTGCTTGTCAGAAGGTCACAAAATGTGATGACATCACAACCATCATGAATATGAATCAGTTACCAAGCAACTGGTGAAACAGTTATAAGTCACTTTTTTCAGTGCTGTTGTAACTTTGAATGGTCACTAAACGAACTGTTGTAAGTTGAGGACTACCTGTAATGACCTCCGCCTTTCTTTGGTACAGCGGATGACAGAAATAATTCAACCTCAATCTTTCCCTTTTACATTTCACAACATTTCAAGCCATTTCTACAATAACAAAACCATTCTAATCATCAAAACCTAAAATCAATTTCTCATTTTTTTTCCAGTTTCAAGCAAAACATCCAGAAAGTGGTTTTCAAGTGGAAACAAAACTAATTAATTATTTCCTTTAAAAAAAATGTTTTTCTATCTCCACCAATCCAGCGATTTTGACATCAATTCTTTCATTGTTGGAATCAGTGTGTTTTTCCATCTTGGTGCGTGTAAGATTCTTGCACAGTCAACATATATAATCATGAAGTCCCAAATTTTCTTTCAAGTTCTTTATCCATCAAATTATTGAGCAGAGAACTTCATCATGTGATGTATTGCAGTTGAGTTGCAATCTTGACCGGATTTACCAGAGTCCGAAGTATTGTCAGGGACACAACACAATTCACATTCTGTCCAGGATCGCTTTCCTTTGTTACTTTTTGCGGGATGGCTTCATGGTATCCCAAGCAGAATGACTAGATCTGCAATAGCTTTATGCCATATAGTGTCAACAATTCTCAAGACTCTTTTTTCTGCTATGTATTCCAAATAGTCTGGGATTAATATAATACTTAGAGACAAACAACCTACTCTCCAATAAACAATTTGGTTTCAGAAAAAAGCTATCCTGTAATCTGCAACTCTTACACTGCAAAAACATATGGACTACACAACTTGATCAGGGCAAAACAATAGATGCAATCTACATAGACTTCTGTAAAGCCTTTGATTCAGTGGTACATGACAAACTACTACTAAAAATAAAATCCTATGGTATCTCTGGACAACTGCATAACTGGATAGAAGCATTCCTGTCAAACAGACAACAAATGGTCAAAATTGGGAGTGTCCTATCAAATTCTGTACCTGTCAATAGTGGTGTCCCCCAAGGCAGTGTTCTAGGACCAACTCTCTTCATACTCTACATAAATGACCTCTGTGATCATATTAAGAGCAACTGCGTTCTTTTCGCTGATGATGTAAAGCTGTTCAATACCACAGACAATACTGCTACCCTTCAAAAAGATCTTGACTATGTATCAGAATGGTCAAACAAATGGCAACTTCAAATCTCAACAAATAAATGCTCTGTCTTACATATTGGCAAAAAAAATCCGAAAATAAAATACAAGCTGAATAGTCAAGATCTTGTTGATGATCCAAGCTCTGTAAAGGACCTTGGAATACTCACCTCTAATGATCTAAGTGCTAGTGCCCACTGCAACTACATAGCCAAAAAGGCATTAAGAGTTGTTAACCTAATCTTACGTAGCTTTTTCTCTGGTAATATCACACTACTAACTAGAGCATACAAAACATTTGCTAGACCAATACTCGAATACAGCTCATCAGTCTGGAACCCACATTACGTATCTGATATTAGCACAATTGAGAAAGTCCAGAAATATTTCACAAGAAGAGTTCTCCACTCCTCTACTCGTTGTAGAATACCTTATGCCACCAGACTTGAAATTCTAGAACTAGAAAACCTTGAATTACGCCGTCTTCGGTCTGATTTAAGCATGGTATATAAAATCATACATTGCAATGTCCTACCTGTCAATGAATACTTCAGCTTCAACCATAACAACACAAGAACACACAACAGATACAAACTCAAGGTTAACCGCACCAAGCTTGACTGCAGGAAATACGACTTTAGCAACAGAGTGGTCAATGTCTGGAATACTCTACCCGACTCTGTAGTTTCTTCCCCAAACCCCAAAAACTTTAACCTTAGACTGTCTACTATTGACCTCACCCCTTTCCTAAGAGGTCTGTAGGGGGCGTGCATAAGCGCACCAACGTGCCTACCGTCCCTGTCCTATTGTTTCTTTTATTTTTCTTTTATTTTTCTTATATGTACTCATTTCATGTATTCATAATTATGTATACACTTTTACTTATCTCGTAAACAATTGACAAATAAATAAAATAAAATAAAATAAAAATAAATATATGTGTGTGCATGGGTGGGATTCAAAAATCCCAGCAACCGGTTCTCTGCCTGGTTGCTGGGTGGGCGTGGCCTGCCAGAACTTCCAAAAAGGCCATTTTTGGCCTTCCCTGGAGTCCGGAGGCCTCCGCTGGGCTCCAGAGCCCTCCAGAGTCCGGAGGCCTCCGCTGGGCTCCAGAGCCCTCCAGAAGCAGGCCCATTTCTGGACTTCCGGAACTTTCAGTTCAGCCGTTTTTCGCCCTACCAGAGACTCCGCATGGAACCTGAACTTACCTGCATCCAAAACAGGCCACGTGGAGACTCCTGGGAGGGGAGGGACAGGATGGGTGGGGCCAGCTGGTCATTTCAACTACTGGTTCGGTAAGCCAGATGTAAATTTAACATCTGGTTCACCTGAACCAGCCCGAACTGGCTGAATCCCACTCTTCTATATATGTGTGTATGTACAAACACACACACACACACACACACACACACACACATATATATATATATATATACATACATACACACACATACATACATATATGTATTGTGTGGGGGTGGGGGTGGGGGTGTGGGCGTGTTGGCGTGGCTTGTTGGGCATGGCAGGGGAAGGATATTGTAAAATCTCCTGTCAGAGGTGGGATTTGCTGATTGTCTGAACTACTCAAAATTTCCCCTACCGGTTCTCCAGAAGTGGTCAGAATCTGCTGAATAGCACCTCTGATATATAGATATTTTCTTAAGTTTTCGCGAGTATTTACATGTATGGTATCCAACTTTGTTCGGGTATTTTCCCACGTCATTATAGTTATGCTTTTAAAGTTGTAGCAACGTTTTGGCAGAATCTCATCTGCCATCATCAGGCTTCTGGTTGGTCTGTGTTTATTGGTCTTAGACAGACCAAGACTCCCAACCAATCAGGATGAAGAAAAAAACATTCTGGCAGAGCATAGGCTAGCACCAAATTTAAAACAGAAACGGCTGTGAAAGTCTGACTCACAGACAAACAGTGTACAGAAGCCTGATGATGGCAGATGAGATTCTGCCGAAACGTTGCTACAACTTTAAAAGCATAACTATAATGACGTGGGAAAATACCCGAACAAAGCTGAATTCCATACATGTAAGTACTCGTGAAAACTTTCATCATCTTCAGGCTTGTGTCTTCAGCTTTGTGCTTCTCAGAGTAATGTGAGCTAGCAGCTGCTTCTTCCTTTTAACTGCTAGTGGGGGTGTGA